AGCGATACACATACACACACACACACACACAGATGGTTGTCAGGGGGGCGGAGGGGGGAGGGGAGGGAGAGCGGGCCATGCGTCACGAAGGTACTTTGATTTCGTTGAGCAGGTGTTGCCAGGTCTCGATGTCGTCGCCGAGTCTGTTGAAGACGGTGGAGGACTCGATGTCCCACAGCGACTGGTACTGCAGCCACGTCTTGACGTACTCCTCCATGCTGTCCACAATACCTGCACACACAAACACACACACACACACCGATCCATCCATCCATCCACCCCCCCTCTCTGCCCCATTGCGTACGTTCGACGGCCGCGTATGCGTCCTCGAGGATCTTGGTGTCCAGCTCCTTGAGCAAATGGCTGTAGGTCTGCTCACGCGGGGCCACCTGCTGCGCGCCGCCCTTGGCGAAGGCGTCGAATCGGGCGCTCTGTATCCTGGAGAGGTTACAGATGGTGCCAAGGGTGCTGTGGAAGTTGCAGATCCACGTCTGACGGGCGCCCTCCTTCGGCGGATCCAGGTACAGTTGCTGACATGCAGAGACACCGCACACACACACGGAGACATGCAAGGGTGTGTGTGGGGTGTGTGTTGTGGGGGAGGGGTGCAGGCGTCTACCTGGTTCTGCATTTTGAGTTCGTGCAGGGTGCCGGATTCTATGAGGGTGGTGCCGCCGTCGGGCCAGCTGGTGAACTGCTTGACCCACTCCTCAACCAACTGCCGCAACCTGCACACACACCACACCACACACAAATGGCAAAGATGTCTGTCTGTCTGTCTGGGGTGTGTGTGCGGAGAGGTCGTGGGGGGGAAGGTCCCTAGTACCTGGTGATGAGTATGCTTTGTATGTGTTTGTCGACTTTGTCCACCCAGATTGAGAGGTTGGAGAAGTTGGCCAGGTTCATGTCGTCAACCATCTTCTGCAGCTTCTCCATCACCTTTATTCACACCACACACACACGAAACAGACACCCTCGTGTGTGTGGGTGTGGGTGTGTGTGTCCTACCTCTTTGAACCCCTCCCCCGCGAGCGGCATGTGTGCGAGCGACTCGATGTCCCGCTGCATCTGCTCGTTCTGCGCCAGCAGATCAGTCACCTTGTCCTGGAACAAAAACACCTGCAAGGCACACACCACACACACACACAGAGACAATGATTATGTGTGTGTGCGTGAGTGTGTGTGTGTCTGCCGGGTGACTGACCTGGTCAGCGAATCGGCGAGCGTAGCTCTCGAGGCGGTCAGAGTCCCACTTGAGATGGATGCCGTCCTGTCAGATCAGATGTGACACACACACACACAAGCAGGGTTATGCCCGTTATTACATGTCTGTGTGGACGGTGGGGTGTGTCGTGTGTGGTGGGGATGGCTAAGTGACTGACCATGATGAGCTGATTGACTTCTTTCTGGTACGAGGCCACCAGGGGGGCGATCGAATCGTCCACCTTGGAACAACTCTGATCGACAAACCACACACACACACACACACATCCATCCACCCACCCACCACTCCACCCATGTGTGTGTGGCTGTGTGACCTGCGTGTATGTCCTGACGGACTCGAGCAGTGTCATGGCGAAGGGGTAGTTGAGCTTGGCCTCGTCAGACGTCACCTTGACGCTGTACGGCACGCGGAACTGCAGGCACTGCAGATTCCGAACCTGTGTGTAACCACCACACACACACACACAGAGAGAGAGAGAGAGAGAGCGAATGCAAAGGAACAGGCCTTTCCTCTCGTGTGTTTGGGGTGTGGACCTCTTTGAAGAGTGTGATGATCTGCTGGTCGTAGTTGACGACCAGCTCGTAGTCGTTGTCGCCATTCTTATGCACGTCGAAGATGCGGCCGCCGACGTCGAAGCTCTTGACGTCCTTGATGTCCTTGAGCCAGTTGTCGAAGATGACCATCGTGTTGAGCTTCTTGGCGAAGGCGTCGCCGTCTTGCTTCAACTTCTGCCCTTCGATGTGCTGCTCCCAGCCCTTGCCCAACACGTCTTCTACTCGGCGCATATACACCTGCACCCAGTGTGTGCGTGTGTGTGTAGGGAGTGGATTGGTTGTGGTGCCTACCTGGAGCCGTCTCTCGAGCTGCTTCGCCCAAATGATGGCGCCCGATGTCGGCGGGATGTCCCGGACGGTGGCCATCTTGGCGGCCTGTGTGCTGGTGTAGTGCTCCTTGAACTTGTTCTGCAGCTTGCGAATGTCATCCTTGACCTAAACACCCACACAAACACACACACACACATCCGCCCCCTCTCCCCACTCATAAACAGACACGCACCGAGACCCACCTGCTGGATGAGCGACGACTGGTACTCCTGGATGGCCCCCCTGATACGTGGGCGGAAGAAGAGCGCGTTGAAGCGCGAGAAGACGCGGAACATCTCGGAGGCCGTCTTGGCGGCGCCAAGCCGGTCGCGCAGCTTGGATGTGATCTGGCTCTCGGCACGGTCGATCTTGTCGTCATACTGACATAACATGGCGAAGACACACACACGGGGTGCGTGTGTGGGTGTGTGTGGGGTGTGTGTATACCGCCTTCTTGGCTTGCTCCCAGGCCTCAGTGCCTGATCGGCTGACGTCCAGGACATCGATGTTGAGGAACAGCTTGTACGCGGAAGTGATCTCGCGGTGCGCGCCCATCTCGCCGCCAGTGCTGCAAATCGTCACACACACACACACACACACAGAGAGAGAGAGAGAGAGGGAGAGAGAGAAGGGGCATTTCTGTGAAGGCACAGCACATCCACATGTGTGTGAACGTCGGCCCAAATACCGGCCGTCGGTGAGGACTTTGGAGATGACCTCCTTGAGCTTCTGGTGCTGTCTTCTGAACTTGCGCAGGTCCTCGATGCGCTCCTGCAGGGCCGTGTGCTCGCAGTTGAGCTTCGGCGGGGGCCGCTCGGACGTGCCGCGCTTCTTGACTTGCTCACGGACCAAATCCTTGAAGTTGCGCACCTATCACACACACACACACAGAGAGGGAGGGAGGGTGTGTGTGTGTGTGTGGTGAGTGTCTTCTCATTGGGTGACGTACTTCGTCTTCCCAGAGTCTGAAGAGTTCGTTGCATCCCGCCGTGGCGTGGTCGAACTCCTCATACTCGAGCTGCATCAAACGCTGAGACGACAACACCTACACACACAAACACACACACACACACACATCCATTCACCCCCTCCCCCTCTCTCTGTGTGTGGTGTGTGTTGGTTGCCTTGAGTATCTGTGCGGCGAGGTCTCTGGAGACGGCCTCCACGAGGTTGAATGCCCGCAGCAGGGGGTAGAGCGTGGCGTTTTTGATCTTGCGCATGTGGCTGAAGATGGACCTGATGGAGTAGGTCAGCTGGTCGACGGTCGTCGCCGCCAGGAGGTCGTTGATGGGGAAGTCGCGCATCAGGATGATGATGTTGCTGACCTTCTCCATGGCAGGCTTCAGCCCTGACACATCCCACACACAGATATATGTGTGTGTGCGTGTGTGGGTGTGGGTGTGGGTGTGGGTGTGTGTGCCTGCCTGTGTCGGCTTCGAAGGAGATGGTCGCGAGGAAGCGTTTGGCCTGTTTGAGCAGGTTGAGGGTCAGCTCGATCTCGGGCGTCTGCAGCTGCTGGTGCGCGTGGTTCAACGCCCGCTCCAAACCCAACCAAAAGTTGATCTCCTGCATCGCACTACCTGTCGTCGGATCCCTACACACACACACACGCCATGACAGCCACCCCCTCTCTCTCTCTGTGTGTGTGGGGGGGGTGCACCTGCTGAGCCGTGTGACCTTCTGAATCTCCTTGATCCATCTGTTGACACCCGACTGTATCTGGTTGAGGAATGAGGGGTCCTCGAGCCGCTCTGCGAAGTCCTCGACGCGCAGTTTGGTGCCCTTGGACTTGGACCGCGCGGCGGCCTCGCGGATCTCGGGGTCGACCGTCAGGCTGATCTCGGGAATCTCAACGTTCTGCTGGCACTGCACACACACACCACAAAGAGGGAGAGGGAGAGCGAGAGGGAGAGGGGCATATAGTATGTCTGTGGGCGTGGTCATCCTCTCTCTCCCTCTCTCTGTGTGTGTGTGGTTCTTTCTCTGACCTGCATGCAGGACATGGCGAGTTCTGCGATTTTCTTCTGGACGTTGGGTATGCCGATCTTGGTCTCGTCCTGGCCCTTGCTCTCGTCGTCGCCCCCCTCGCTGCGGTACGTGTTGAACAGAGGCGCGAAGCTGTTCTGCAGGTAGGTATGCACCAGCTCGAAGGGCGAGCTCTCGTTGTCCATGTAGCCCAGAGTGATCATCTGCAGCTGCCCACCGATGTGCCGCAAAGACGACTGCCGGCCGCCAGTGAGGTCCTGCTCACCGGCCCTCTCCCCCGCCCCGCCGGTGTCCACCACGTTAAACCCCGGCCGCTTGGCGAAGGCGATGATCGTGGCGCGGGAGCCCTTGAACGAGACCTCCAGGTCGAGAAAGAGCCGGTGCTGCGGCTCCTCGTCGGCCTTCTCGCTCTCAGTCTGGAGGATCTCCTTGCCGACAACAAGGGTGTGGATCTGCGCGTCGGCGATGAACTGCTGGATCTTCTCGCCGTCCTTGCGGCCGGTGAGCAGCCGCATGAGCTCCTCTCGGGAGCAGTCGAGGACGGGCGGGCAGACGGCCAGCAGGAAGTCGATAACCGGGGCCTTATTGATGCCCTCCATGGTTGTGGCCAGATGTCACAGATCCGACGGACACGAAAGTGCGATGGTCAACGGGCCGACTACTTCAGCAGCAAGGACGGGGCAAAAAGGGCGTCACAAGGCGTCACAGGGCGACGGTCCCGCAAGGACCGGCAGACAGTCGGTCGGGTGGACTACTCGAAAACGCACCACACACGTACTGTACGGTACGGTGCGGTAGGAGGGATCTCTCCTCAGCGATAGATGGCGGACAGGTGTCCACAAAAGCGTCAGCTACGGTGAAATTCCAGATCTGAATCGCGAGCTTGTGGCCCGGATGCGAGCTAAGCTCGTGGGCAAAAGAGGAACCAGAAAACGGCCTTTGTTATGGGCGCATATCGGCGCATTTGATGCATGATGGTGGGCAACATATAGATCTGGCACGCGTGATGGCCGCTGACTCAGAACGTGGTGAATGTGGGAGTGCTGAGCCTCGTGTAATGCCGATGGTGGTGCAGCCTCGCCTGTGGCTGCTGGTGGGATGCGCCCTGCACTACTTCTTCAGGTCCATGAGCCTCGCTGACACACACACGCACAGAGGCAATCAGCGAAGTACTCACACACAGTCCTGCCTGACTGCTCTGTGTGTGTGATTGCAACAGTACTGGGTGTTATCTGGGGTGGGCGGCAATGATCAACATACTCAAGGTACAACCGCCGTGGCGCACAAGCAAAGCATTTGAATACCCTATGAGTCAGTCGTGCATGTGTGTGTGTGCGCGTGTGTGCGTATGTGTGTCTGTCATCTATGAGTGTGTGTGTGCAGGGCGAGGCGCTGTATCGTCACCTCTGTGAGCCGTCCCTCTCCCTCGCAAACCCCGAAGAGGCGGCACTGCTGCTGCGGCACGAGAGCTGCTCCGCCGAGGATGTGCGCCTCAACTTGATGTTTGTCGTCATGAGTGCCCTGGGCATGTGCGCAACGCTGCCCTTGGGCTTCCTTATTGACAGATTACCAAAGTGGATTGGGAGGGGTGGGGGGGTTGAGGTGCTGGTGTGGATAAGTGTGTTGGTGCGGTGTGGTGGGTTCAGGTGCTTGTGGGTGTATCAGCTGCTGATTGCGTGTGGTCCTGCGCTGGTGGGGATGGGCACGCTGATGCCCCACGTGCAGCGCCATGTGGACCTCATTTTCATCGGATTCTGCCTCCTCGTCCTGTGAGCCCATACACGCACACGCACACGCACACGCACAAAGAGAGAGAGAGAGAGAGAACACACACGCACAGAGGGGCAACATGACCTTCCTCCCCTCTCCCTCTCTCTCTCTCTCTCTGTGCGTGTGTGGGTGTCTGTGTGTGTGTCTGTGTGTGTGTGTGTACCCATCCATTCAGCCCAGGTGGAGCGGTCTCTTTTGTCCATTTCCACGTGGCCAACCTGTTCATGAACTCATTTGCGATCGTCATGACCATCCTCAGTTCGGCGTACGGCTTCTCGGCCTTCCTCTTCCCCGTCTTCCACGCCCTGTGGGCCAACACGTCAATGCGGCTGACCCACATCGCCTTCGGATACGCGGCAATATTGTTCGCCTTTGTACCCTTCTGCCTCGTTCAGGTCAGCCACAGAGAATGGCAGGCAGGTGGTCACATGTCGAACATCCCTCTCTGTGTGTGTGTGGGGTTGTTGCAGCCCGCAGCCCGCAGTGAGGCAGGAGATCGTGTCGGCTTTGAGTGGCGCAAGGGCGGCTTCTACCTTACCGCAGACACCCCACAGGAGCAGCGCGAGCAGAAGAGCCATGAGGAGCAGCCACAAACCGATGACCCAAACCAGGTGGGCGACTGTCACGGCCAGCCGTCATCCGACAGGTGTGGCGTCGAGTCGTGCTCGCGGCCGGCGACCATCGCCACGAGCACACCCGGCGACTCCTTCCCGTCGCCGCCCTTTACCTCTCGTCACTTGTCTGACTCCGCCCCTGACTCCGCCCCAGTCTCCCCCCTGCCCCCCATGGCTGATGTGAGGAACCGGCGGGTCATCCGGCAGATGTTTGACCCGGGGAACCTCATCATGCTCGCACATCTCACCTACTGGTGCGCAGAGGATGGGTGGGGTGGGTGGATGGGAGGGAGGCACTGAGTGAATGCCATGTGTGTGTGTGTGTATCGTGTGCACAGGATGTTTGTGCTGCAGTTTTATTTGAGCACTGCCAACATCCAGCTGGGCGTCATGACGGGCGCCAACGAGCTGGAGACCGTCGCGCAAGAGAGGAGGGCGGCGGGGGATGCGGCAGACGACGACACGGACTTTGCGGCCAAACTGGAGGCAGCTGAGTCGTCGAGGGCGTTATGGACCTCTGTGCTGGGCTGGATCATACCATGGTGAGTGGTGAGGAGGGGGAAAGAAGGCAGGCAATGTGTGTGTGTGTGTTCGTGTGTGTGGTTTGTGCAGGGCGTGGCTGGTGACTTTGTGTGTGGCGTCTCTGATGAACCGCAAGGGCGTCGTTGCGGGCTACTGTGTGCAACACACGGTAGGGTAGGCACACACATGTGACAAACCAAACGTGCCCCCCCGACACTCATCATCGACTGTCTCTCTCTGTGCCAGTTTGGTCTCCTTCACTGTGCCTTGGCGGCGACGATGGTGCTGGCCGTTCAGCCGCTGACCTTTGTCCTTTACGCGACCGCACTCGACGCCCTATATGCCGTCTATATCACGTTCATAGGTACCCACCCACCCAGCCACCCACTCCACCGCACGCACATTTCGACTGTATGTGTGCAGGTCTTGAGTATGGCTTTGAGCACTCATCGACGCTTGGAGGCTGGCTCTTTCTGGTGCGGTCAAGACAGAAATGACAGACACATCGATCCCTGTGTCATCTGTCGATCGGTCCTCAGGTGTCCGGTGCCCCTCTGCTGCTCATCAACCCTCTGCTAGAAGCCATCGTACGCCAACACACACACACACACACACACAGACCACCACCAGGGAGAAATGTGCGTACGATCTTATCTCCTCCCTTTGTGTTTGGTATGTGCGATGCAGCTGGAGTGGGGTGCCCCTTTCCAGGCGCTCAACCTGGTGTTTCTGGGTGGCGGTTGTGTCGCGTCGCTGTCGGTCCTGTGGCTGCAGAGGTACGAGGCCAGCAAGAGGGGCGGCGGCGGCGGCGGCGAGAGGGGGGTCGGTGCGCCACCCGCCATGATACGCAGGGGCATCTCGATGCTCTTTAGGGGCAAGAAGAGGGGCTGTAGATAGACGGACTGCTGGATGGATGGATGGACAGACGGGAGCACTGCCTGCATGCCCAGCCTGACTCAATCAGCCTGTTTTAGTGAGGCATGCGGTCCGGTCGGATGGATTTAATTCTCAATGATGCTTGGCTTGGAGCTGTAGATAGACTGTCCAAACCATTATTGAGAGTGTCAGCCGCAACCTTTTTCGCTGAGACTGGATGACATTTCGTGAGACCTGAGGCGGACGGACATGAGATGTACTTGAGGTCACGAAACAAGTGAGACGGGTGACAAGTGTCTTCCCGTGTGTGTGTGCGCATGTGGGGCACATACATCAAGTAAATAAATGCCACATCAGCGTTCCACAAAGGGACGGCAGGCACAAACACACGACACGTCATTCATCCGACAAAAACTCATCATCCCCTCCCCCAACGGTGCTAGCTAAATGAGTCCCTGTGTCTTGAGCATCACTTCCAGCTCCGACACTCTCGTGCCGTCAGCCAACGTCACCAGGCGGCCGTCACACGGGGCGTGGTACTCGGGCGTCGGTTGGGACAGCAGCTGATGGAAGGCCTAAACAATACACCACACAACGACAGTCTGTGCGGGCATGCCCCGCAGTCGGATGTGTGTGTGCGAGTGTTCACCTTCTGACATGGCCAGTACTGGAGATTGAGTGCCTGCAGCTCATCTCTGACAATCTGGACCCTCTCCTCGGTCACAAAGAGAGCTTTTGTGAGGGTCCAGTCGCCCAGCGTGTTGGCGGCCATGTCGGCGGTGTAGTCAAGCAGGGGCTTCCTGAAGATGTCTGTGTACTCGAGGGCCGTCTTGAGCAGCGCATCCTTGACAATCTCAAACGACACGCCACGCTACACACACACAGCAGGACAGCCACAAGAAGATACACAGATGCGGGCGATCCACTTCCTTGAGCGGCTTGCCGCTGGCATAGTTGGTCGACGTGGGCGGTCAACTGGAGCTGGTCCATGTAGTGCACAATGTTGTTCTTCCTGTAAGGGAACGGAACAAGTGACACACACACACATACACACACACACACTCTCGTGTACGCACACAACAGGTGCACGCGCAGCCTTCGGTTGACGTGTGTGCGTCACCATGCATTGCGGCTCAAGAACTCGTATGGCTTGCTGGTATGCACTTGCTCAGACGGCTTCACTCGGCCGATGATGCTCTCACCGAAGAGCCGCCCGCCCGCACGGATGACGGCCTGAGTGCAGGTCGGCAGAATGCGGGGCTGGAAGTAGAAGAACCACGGATCGTGATGGACGCAGCCTTGTTTGCCCAGAACAGCGGCTCCAGAAAGGAATCGGTCTTGATAAACGGAAGAATGGGGGGAGGAACCCGCCCGTTCGTCTTGGCAACGATCTTGTAGATGACGTCTTCAATCGCCTTGGACACCACACTGACGACGGAGGCGTAGAGTGAGCGGGCGGACTCAGTCGAAAGGCCACTCAGGTCCTTGAAACGGGTGGTATCCTCCATCGACAGGCGGGCCAAGCGGAACGACGGGCAGATGATGAGAGCAGGACGGCCTTGTCTGCTTGGATATGCCATCGCGCCCTCAACAGCAGTCGACGGGTGGCACTCTTCGTCATCAACAGACCAGACCAGTACGATATCAAGATAAGTGCCGTTCAACAGGTCCACTTTGAAGGCCAGCAGCACCTTCTCGACGGGATGGCTGGCCACCTCGCTGATGATTTGGTCCTCTCGGCGCCGCTGCAGCTCGTAGAACTCATCATCGTCCATCATGCCGCCGATGTACTTGATGCGAGTCACGTGTGCGCGCCGATAGGGCGGCAGGCCAGCCGTCGCCTGGCAGACCTTCTTGTGCTTGGCGCGCCAGTGCTGAATCTGGCATTCCTTCCCACAGTAGCTGATGAGATGGCATCCATTGCAGTCGGAGAGTGACAGCACGGCAGGGGGCGACTTGCCGCACATGCCGCAGCGCTTCGGTGATGGATAGGCAGCCGAGGCATTGAGGTGGTGGACCTTGTAGCCAGGCATCTCTGACACACACAGAAACAGGGAGAGCCAGTGCGGTTGTGCATTGCCTGGTTGTGCATTGCCTCTCTGGCCATTCCCGGCACCCACCGTCATAGTTGAAGGGCATCGTGTCGCCGTCAGTCGCCCCAGCCACGCGAGGACTGGCAGCACTCGAGCTGGCGGCTGTCGAGCCGGGCTGATTGGCCTCCTTCTGCTGGCTCAGGGGAACCTTGTGGCCAGGCATCTCTGATGACACACACCAAGGACACAAGCAATGTCTGTTCTTCAGCTCCTTTACGGCCTCGGCTGCGTTTCCGCCCACCAGCAGAGGTGAAGGGCACGTCAGATGATGCAGTCACTTCTGGCTGTTGCTGCTGCTGCTTCTTCTGCTTGTCCACGGCCATCGCGGCCATCGCTCTGCTGACACCAGCTGTCGGTCCTTCATCGTCAGATGAGTCGCTCAGGTCCAGGTTGTCCCAGCGGCTGTAGTCGATTGGCTTCCCAGACATCGTCTGTCAGACCTCTCTGTTTCGCAGATGTGAGGATTCAGCACCTTGCCCCACTCACAGATCACACCTCTTTCTCTTCGTTGGGCTCCTCTTTCTTCTTCCCCTTCTCCAACCTGCGAGCTTGGCCCTGAAACCTGGCACTGGCCAGGAAACGCTGGTTTTTCTTTGGGTCGTTTCCACTTGTGTGTGCACCGTCTAATGTCCTTCATACCTGCGCTTGCAATCGTATTGCAAGTGACCAGAGTCGGCGCAAAGTCGCTTAAAAGTCAATCGACGAATCATGGTCCATCCATCCACACCTCCTATGTCCGACCGACAAAGCCAAGGCCTTTCCTCTCATACGCATCAATCAACACTTACCAGCCAGGCAGCCAGCTTCACACACAAACCTGCCACAAATGGGTGATGCACTACGCACCATTCGCCCGCCTCTCCTCGGCTGCTCGCTCTATGTACACGTCTGTTTGTCTGTCTGTCTGTCTGTCGGTCTATCTATCGTCGGCCTCGCTGCACATCATGGCCGAGCCGCCCGTTGTCTGTCGGTATCTGTGGAAGTATGAGTGGATGGCGCACCCCACAGAGAGGTACACGATGGCGTAGATGACGGCGGCGTTGGAGAAGCCCACGGACTGCACCAGGAAGCCGCCCACGAACGCCCCAATCGCCGCACCCAAAGATATCGACGCGTTCTCGTACATCGATGCAGTGTTGCTCACCTGCACACACACAGACACAGACACATACACATACAGCCGGGCAGAAGTGAGAGAGACATTGCACAGTCACACGGTACCCACATACACACACGAACACCCGCTTCCTTGCCTGCATTTTGTCTAGGTGTGTCTTGGTGCGGAGGGCCTTGATGAGGATGGGCAGGCCCGGCACGATGCAGAGGGCCAGGCCGGCCCCCAGGCACACGAGGCTGCTGAGGAGGGACACCCAGACGCCCCGCAGGTAGACGTTGACCCGCTTGATCCAGCTCGTGAACCCCAGGGCGTATGTGAGCTTGTCCAGGGCGCCCATGAGGAGCGACCAGGGACCGACCAGCAGGAAGGCCGCGAACAGCACAAAAAGCGCCGTGAGCAGGCAGGGCCACTCGTAGCCGCGGTCTGCATGGCTGCCCACCAGCAGAGAGGACAGCATCACACTCGTCAGCAGCACGGCGAACACCTGAATGCACACACATGTATCCATGGAGGGAGGAATGGAGGCACACACAACGCACACACACACACACACATGAGGGAATGTGTGTTGTGTGCTGCGGTGTGGCTGTGCTGTCTCGTGTTCCGCTGACCATGCCGACTTCTACGGATTTCTGCAGGCCTAGCATCGTAGTGATGTGTTCGGCCAGTAGGGGCTGCACGAAGCCAAGGGCCGAGCCAGCCATGAGCAGCGCCATCAGCACATACGGCACATCCGACACCACAAATCGACTGCTATCGTACTCGGAATACGCGTGGGGCAGAAAGGGCGACAGTTGCAGGGAGCCGCTCTCCTGTGCGCCGAGGAGGGCGTCAGCCTCCGAGCTCGTGTCGTCGTGATCTTCCTGCTCGTGGCTGCTGGGGGTCGTCGCCATCATGCTGCTATGATCTATCTCGCGCACACTGAATGGACGCTGCACACGGCGGGCGGCCAGCGGCGAGCCGAACACCCAGTTCATGAGCACCAGGTCGGCGAATATGAACGCCCCGGCGACCGTATAGGGCAGGTACATGCCGCCGATGTCGTACAGGCCGCCGCCCACCACCACGCCGAAGATGCCGCCTCCCAGGTATGACAGCAGCCGGATGCCGCTGGTGCGGTTCTCGTAGCCGGGCACACGCTCGAAGATGACGGCGAATGAGAGGACCATGTTGATCCCCGCACAGAGCGACATGACGGTGCCGAAGAGAAATAGCAGAAACAGCACCTCGAGGGGGCGGGCCGTGGCGAGAGAGCCGCTCCAGCCGACGCACACTGTGGTTATCGAGTAGACGAGTGTTGCGATGTAGAGCACCATCAGGCGGCCGTGTTTGCTGGCGAGGGAGGGGGCGCTGATGGAGCCGATGAATTGGCAGCAGGTGAAGGAGCTGAACAGCACTCCCGTCACCCAGGTGGGGAAGCCGAGGGCGCTCCGGAGGTGCTCGGGGACGAATGCTGAGGGCATCTCGAACATCCACCCATTCATGGCCACGTTGAGCGCAAACTGGACCAGGTAGCAGGCGAGCACCGACAGTCGACGCCCAGTAGGGGCACGAATGGGAAGGAGCTGCACCTGAGGGATGCCGTCATCCGCATGATCTTTGCCTTTGCCGTCCTCCTCCGAGGGAGAATGTGAGCCATCGCTAGCGAGGGTCGTGTGGGAGGAGGATCTCGCCATTATCGTGCCAAAAAAAAGACCTCTCTCTCGTGATTTCCAATGCGCATGTAAACACTCACGCCCCAGGCCCTGATGCGTCTGCTGCCTTTTCTCCTTCTTCTGAGCCAATGGGACGGCAGACTGTTTCGGTGGATGCCCAAGAGGAGGGCATCTGCACTGCAGATCCAGCCATCCCACATTCACCTCTCATCCATGGAGTTCTTCTCGGTGAGGATCCGTTGGCCGGTGATGAGAACGACAGCACGGACTTCGTGAGTCGTGGCTGCTTCCGCGTCACGAATGTCCAAGACAAGAATGAGAACAAAAACCCGGACAAACTGGCACCGGATGACTGCTTCAACTACTGCCTTGTAAGCAGAAGAAGCCCATCCACGAGGGACACACATGCCTGCTGTCATCAAATGCAATTTTTTGCCACGCAGAGAGACTCTCAGGCAAAGTACTTCGGTGTGTCTGATGGCGGCCGATGCTGGTGCGGCACGATGTACGAGAGCGAGGAGAGGGATGATGTTGACTGCGGCGCGCTCTGCAAGATTGACATTGAGACCGGGGCAAGCGAGCCGCGAATGAGGTGTGGCGGCGACAAAGGGCTGACAAACGTCTATGTGATGGTCAACTGCAGTAAGGAAGTGATACACACGATCGATCACAGAGAACGCGATGAGCTCTCCCTGTATCATTGCTCAGACGCAACGGACGATGAGCCAGTCCCAAAGCCGCCAACAGGTAAGGATGACAAGAGTCCCTCTGCATCCGTCTTGCGCTTTCCATCTGTGCGGCTCTTTCAGTATATCGCCGTTATCCTGAGACATTTTGCGGCAATGCCACAGACAACGAGGCGCATGTCGGCAGTGCAGATAAGACCTGGATGGAGGGAACCATCGCACAGTGCAAGGATGCATGCGCATCCACGGCTGAGTGTGGCGGCTTCAGATACATCCAGGTGAGACAACGGCATCGTCTGTGCCGGATACGCACTACGCCTTTTGCGTCAGGCCGGCGCGTCAAGCAGCGGTGGACCTGGCGTGGAGGGTGCGGGGGGATGTTACTTCTTATTCGGCCCCCAGATGGGAGGCCCGTGGACGAAAGATGCCGACGCCATGTGCTTCACAAAGGCCGACGATGGGCTTGTGGCTCAGTGGGAATTCTCGCCAGCAGCAGGGCTGAACGATCCCACAGTCGTCGACGATTTGGTGAGAGGAGGGGCGCGTAGAGAAAGTGCTGTCTGGTCTCACATTCATATTGTGTGTGGTCAGCTGACCACGACTGGCAAATATCCCGCCAAGCTGCATGGACAGGCAAGACTCCAAGCCGATCGTCTGTCCATCGATTTGAACGGTCATCCGCTCACACAGATGACCAGAGCGACAATGCACATCTGCGTCTCCCTTGCTCTTTTCGCGGTGCAGGTGCCGCCGACTGGGTCAGCATCCCAATGAGCAGCCTTCTTGAGAGCGATCTGTGGAAGCTTTCACCTGAGGGCTTCTCAATCGAGCTATGGCTCCAGCTGAGTGAGTCAGAGACGGCAGCTGTCCTGTTGGACTTCGGCGCATTGGCAAATGCGGGCCGTCTGACGGTCATCTGCGCGACCGAAAATGGCACACTCAGGTCAGTTGGATGGATGTCGTCGTTGATACTATGATTGTGGCTTTGTGTTGTTTGCAGGGTGTCTTATCGCGGTGAGAGCACTGGCTACGCATACAAGAGTGTCGACGTGGCTGCCCCAGGGGCAAATCGGCTTGTCCAGCTGGTCTTGACAGGCAACCATTCTACCCTGAGCGTATACTACGATGGTTAGTAGGTCGAAAGACTTGCGGGTACATAGGTTGCATTTTTTGGTTGATGTCTCAGGCGATCTGAATGCAAGTGCTGGCATTGGTGTTCAGCTGCGTGAGTTACTCAGCCCAAAGTCGATGTTTGTTGTGGGCAAATCCATGGACGAGAGCGACGGCGCTCATTTGTTCAAGGGGCAGCTTGCGGTGTTTGGTGTGTACAACCGGCCGTTGGAGGATTATGAGGTCGGCATGAAGTTCAGAGACGGCTACGACAGATTGATCAACGCACCAGCCGTAATAGGCGATACACGCAGACACGCGCACATTCACTATCGAACATCAGTATGTGTCATGACGTGTGTGTGTCTCTCTCAGTTCCAAGCAAAGCCAGCCGGTCCCCCCGATGGCTATGAAAGAATTACAATAGAAACCGGGCGGGTCACCTTCGACCATGAATGGATGAATGTACCCCTGATGACCAAATTCGAAGAGCCAGTAAGGCCAAACGCACAAACACAAGAGCCGTAGCCAGCGACAAGAGGCATGCTGGGCTGCTTTCATCAGGTCGTGATTGTCGGCCCCGCGTCATTCAATGGGAAGCACGAAGGAGTGATCGAGCTCAACCATGTCAAAGGCACGCCGAGACGTGAGAAGAAAGACAGACGCAACCACACATAAACGCTGTTATGTATCCTTTTGGCTTACAGCTCCACCCATGTCTCTGGCGGGCTATAATCCAGGCTGCAACGAATCGTCAGCTTACAGCGAGCCAGCTTGTATCAGTGCCGCACACCTCTACTGTCTTGACCACCACAACGTACAAGGCGCAGCTCTTCAGAAGATGCTGCCGCTCAAGCCGCACCCCGTCATCCAAATCGCGTGCTTCCAGCCCTCAAAGTACATCAACGTCGCTCTGTCGGAGCTTATCCAAGGCTGCCAGTCCATGAGGCACATCATGACATTCAAGTGTCGCGAGGCAATCGCTGCCAAGGTGGACTGCCCGCACTTTGTCCTGCAGGGCCCAGATGAAGAAGGGGACAGAGACGTGGGTGTGGCGTGTTTTGAAGCGAAAAACAAGGGAACCATCGCCGCAAAGCGGGTGAAGCGTGCATGGGGCAAGCAAAGGTGTACCTCTATTACGGATGCTGGGCTGAGGAAACCTGGCTGCGTCAAGAAGGTGTGGCGCCGATGCTTCAAACACAAGAGACGGTCTGGAAAGAAGTGGCTGAGTGGCGCAGGGGTGATGGAGGGTTTTGTGAAGGGCACCTCTGTGAGCTATGCGTGTTTGATGTCGTCATGGCAAGGGCGCGTGCCTATCCAGTCCCCGGAAGACAACACGAAGGAAACGGGGTCACAGGAGGACTCATTCGCCATTCGTTTCGATGTAAGACGAGCATCTATCGAAATGAGCAGCCTCTGTTGTGTCTCTATGTGCTCGTGTCTTTGTAGGAGCCAAGGTGCCTGGATGTGTGGCACACGAAGGAAAGTGCCTCATACATGGTAGGCGGGACACGGACAAGACGGTCTCTCTGCTTTGCCAATCTGTGTCGCGTCTATCAGGTGGTCGAGAGCGGTAGTTTCTGGCTCGGTGGCGACATGCTGGCGCATGTAGGAAGAGCACTTATCCCGGCCGATGGCAGATTCCATCGCGTGCAGTTCCCCATGGCATTCCCGGGCGGCAAAGTCCCTGTGGTCTGGACGCAGGTGCAGACCTACCAGGATGCCACTTTCGTGCACACACGCATCAAGGAGGTCAACTCCGACGGCTTCCGAGTCGGTATTGAGATGAGGGGCCGGCTCAGCCTGGCGCCCAAGATGGACACCGTGGGGAAGCAAAGTAAGTGAGGGCAATTCGAGACACGGCATTTTAATAGTGCATGTTTGTTGCAGTGGTTGGTTGGCTTGCCGTGCTTCCTGGCGAAGAAAGACTGCCCAATGGCGACGCCGTCTTTGTCGCAAACACGGTCAGGGAGACGCACCTGTGCTTTCCACGTTTGTTTGTCGTCCTGCCATTCTCTGTCTCACAGACACTCCGTGGATGGAGGGAAACCAACAACCACTGGACCAGTGTGTCGCTCCCAGAACAGCTGATGGGTGACTCCCCTCCCTCCCTGCTCGCGGCCATACAAAGCTACAATGGTGCTGACGCGGCGACACTCCGATACAAGGATCTGACAGAGAGAGGGGTCATGATACGGCCTCAGGAGGACCGGTGCACGAAGTGGGCAGGGATGGGTGATGCGCACAAGAGAATCGATCGTGCACAAGGAGCGCGTGCAACGTATGAATGGATGGATGTGTGCAGCGACCAGAAGCATATGGTGTCCGAGGAGCTGGGGTATGCTCTTGTCGTCAAGAGCGGATACCCACGGCGGACCGACTGATTGTGACTGACTGACTGACTGATCATGACGACTCCATTAATGATGGGCGTACCGCAGAGATCAGTGTTATGAATCTCATGTATCTGCTTCGTCAATCTGATTTGCGAGTCCATCTCATATAGAGGCAGACAACGCACAAATCGATGACCTGGCCGCTTTTCCTGGCCGGCGAGGTTTTTCCGCCAAGCTCGCAGTGTGCTGCAAAGATACTTCTGAAGCGGGGCTTAAGCGGGTGTGTGAGTCCCATAAGGTGCTGCATCCTCAGACCTGCCGAATTCTCTGCTGTTTGAAGCTCACACGCAACATGTCTGGGAAGCCCGTTGACTACAGCCGCTGGGACAAGCTGGACCTGAGCGACTCATCCGACGATGAAGGACCTTCGGCTGCTGTCAGCAAAGCGATGGCTGCTATGGCCCTGAAGGCCAATCAGCCCGGCTCGACAGCCGCCAGCTCGAGTGCGGCCAGTCCTCGCGTGGCTGGGGCGTCTGACGGGGACACGATGCCCTTCAACTATGACGGTGGGTGCCGAGAAGGGCAAGAGAGCGAATGCAGCACCGCATTGGCTCTCCCTTGCTCTATGTGTGTGTCAGAGATGCCTGGCTACAAGGTCCACCGCAGCCCCTCGGCTGCCTACCCATCACCGAAGCGCTGCGGCATGTGCCTCAAATCGCCCCCTGACGTGCCGTCACTCTTCGACTGCGGCCAATGCGGCCTCATCAGCTACTGCAGCAAGGAGTGCCAGCGGCAGCACTGGCGCGCCAAGCACAAGGAGGTCTGTCAGAAGGCCAAGAAGTTTGCTGACCTGCCGCGCTATCGGCTCGGCTACAAGAATCCCCTCAAGCACGCTTTCGGCATGATGGACGATGATGAGTTCTACGAGCTGCAGCGGCGCCGAGAGGATCAAATTATCGACGAGGTGGCGAGTCGTGATGTGCTCACACTGTCAGTGTCCTTCAGAGCGGAACTGGTGGACAACCGTTATCTTGACATCGAACTGATCTGCGGTGTGAAGGACGAAGAGCGCCACGCGACTGCTGTGGAGGCCGCATATCCAAGCAGACAAGGCTTCCCTCCTTTTATCATCTACCCCTCGTTCCGGTTCGTTCGCTTGTCGATGGACACCACCACCCCTTGCAAGGACCGTTCGGCTGAGTCCCTCCGCTCACTCTACGCCTGCATCGTCAGTGTGGTGTCCACGACGATCCAGGGCTTCATCTACAAGATACTCAGCAAGACGGGCGGCCGGCTTCCTGTCTTCCGTCCGTTTTTCGACTTCGGTTTCTCGCTGGGTCCATTGTTCTGGGCGAACAAGGCTGCGTCCATCACGATTGCGAGGGAGTTTGTTTTCTATTTTCGGCCCCACATTCGGGTCATCTGCGTCAAAGCCGTCGTCCATGCGTGCAATCGGTTATTCGGCGAGGACATCAAGGACAGAATGGGCAGGAATGAGAAAGTCCATGTCAACAAGCCACACGAGTACCTCTGCCGTAAGGCATGGTGAGTGTGAGGGCGGCTAGGCTGGAACGTCACACATCGAGGGGAGCGTGGGCGCTGTGTGTGTGTGTGTCCTGCTCCACACAGGAAGAACAACATTGTGCACTACATGGATCAGTACCAGTTGACCGCCCACGTCGACCAGCTCTGCCAGCAGCACGCCGCTCAAGTGAGCAGACGGCATCCATATCATCCTTCCCTGTATCTCATTCTGTTTGTCGTGTCTGTGTAGCAGTCTGACGTGTCGTTTGAGAGTGTCAAGGAGCTGCTCGAGACGGCCCTCCAGTACACAGACATCTTCCGGAAACACCTGCTCGACTACACCGCCGACATGGCCGCCAACACGCTGGGCGGCTGGACCCTCGCAAAAGCTCTCGCTGTGACTGAGGAGAGGGTCCAGGCTGTCAGAGAGGAGTTGGAGGCGCTCAATCCCCAGTACTGGCCACTTCACAAAGTGAGCATGGAAACGTTCAATGCACGCGGGTGTAGCGGCCTCTTTGTGCGTACTCGTCAGGCCATCCGTGAGGTGCTGTCCCAACCGCCGCCCAAGTACCACGCCCCGTGTGACGGCCGCCTGCTGACGCTGGACGACAGCCGACAGGTGTCGGAGCTCGAAGTGATGCTCAAGACACAAGGACTCATTAAGCTAGCACAAGGATGGCACAGACAACGAGGGGATGGTGACAATTTTTCTGTGGCATAAATGACGTGTCATGTATTCAGTCAGCGAACGCATGTACATGCCTCTGTGGTCCGAACAACTTTCTGTGTGCCATTCGTCAACCACTGTCAGTCGGTCAATCACGTCACTCGGTCAATGTTCGACACACCATCTCACGCACAGACTGCTCGACCCTATCCATCCATCCATCAGTCCCCGCTCGCCATGAGAACAATTACGCCAGCCACTCACCCACCCTCCCATCAGAGGAACCTGCTCCTCTTCCACACATCGATGGGCAGCGGGTTGTCATCGGGCGGCAGCTCACGCACATCGGGCCGGGCAATAGGAGGGAAGTGGTCCGCCTCATCAGCAGACGGCAGGATCAGCTCCTCCCCATCTCCACCTGCCGCACCCTCGTGCTGCTGTTGTTGTAGTCCTTCAAGCTGTGGCTGTCTGGTCTCTTGCGCGTCGATGTGGCCGTCATCAGCCACGCCGATGTCACGAAATGTGTCGGGCAGCAACTCACCACAGCTGCACAAACGGCACACACATGGACAGCTTGGTTGGATCACTCTTTCGATCTGCCTGCCCCCCCACACACATACCGGTAGATGGTGACGGGTCTCCTGGGTCTGCCCATCACTGTGCCGACATCTTCGATGGCCTCGAGGGCGTCCCAGCCGTCGATGAGCTGCCCGAAGACAACGTGCTTGCCGTCAAGCCACGGACAGGGCGCGAAAGTGATGAAGAACTGGCTGTTGTTGCTGTGCCGACGGCGCGTCTTGGCCATCGACAGCACACCCCTGAATGATCAATTGCACCCATTGTGTCACACATACAAACACGGGCAGCTGTCCGCTGTCTGCCCCTGTGTGTGTCTGAGTGCACTGTCTGACCTCTTGGAGTGTTTGTAAAGGAACTTCTCGTCCCTGAAGAACTGCCCGTAGATGGACTCCCCGCCATGCCCGTCGCCCATGTTGAAGTCGCCACCCTGGCACATGAACCCAGGCACCACTCGGTGCACCGGCACACCCTTGTACCACCGAGGCCGCAGGTAGTAGCCCAGCCCGGTCTCGCCAGTGCACAGGCACCTGAAGTTCTCGGCCGTGATGGGCAGCTCGTCGGCGAACAGCTCGAAGACCAGCCGCCCGACGTCCCGGCCGCCCACACTCATGTCCAGAAACACACGGGGAGAGGGCACCTTCGGGAAGCGGGAGGCCAGGCTGCTTCCACTCATCTCCTCGAGCAGATCAGCACGATTCTGGTGACGACATCACGTAGCAGCTGCCGTCAGCACCAGATCTCCGCGTTTCGGTTGATCCATTTTTGTTGTGGCTTCAAGCTCGCATTCGGCGCAGATCTCTCGCCGTCGAATTGGCACTCATGATTGTACGCCGCTTGACCCGCCTCTTGTCGTCCATAACGAGAAACGGCCTGCCTCAAGCTGAAGCATCATGCACTCATTCATCTGCCGCCCACAGCACAGCTGTAGACGGCCTGCTGCCCGCCCTCGCCCGTGCCCGGCGAGATCACCGTGAACGATGCAGGCAGGATCAGAGCCTTGCAGCGTGTCCGCCGTCGCTGGCCCTCGCCCGTGCCCGGCGAGATCACCGTGAACGATGCAGGCAGGATCAGAGCCTTGCAGCGTGTCCGCCGTCGCTGGCCCTCGCCCGTGCCCGGCGAGATCACCGTGAACGATGCAGGCAGGATCAGAGCCTTGCAGCGTGTCCGCCGTCGCTGGCGTGTGCGCTGCTGCTGAGTATGTGGGCATCTTCCCATCTGCAGCTCGACAGACGGCGGGCCTGTGTGCGGTGCGAGGAGAGCCTCGAAGCCGCACTGACGGAAGGGGAGGAGCCTCGTGCTGCTGAAAACGGTACGCATATTCAGTAGGGAGGCAGTTGAGAGGTGGTTATGACGAGTATGGGTGGCTGTCTTGCGCTTGGTCGGTCAGATGGCGAGCCGCATCTGTTGGGCGGCAAGCAGGATGCTTACGGCGGCCTCATTGTCGACCCACAAACACTCCACAGGGACAAACAGGAGTTCGAACGAAGTACGCAACAATTAAGTACACGTGTGTCTGCAATGCTCTGTGCATCTGTGTGTGTGTTTTGTTTTGTGTCTGCCTGTATGCAGCATTGGAGAGCTCCCTTGTCCACTGGCGTCAGGCCGGCTACAGGGGGATATGGATGAAGATACCCAAAGGTATGTCAGAATGAGAAAGAAGCAGCACACGGCAAACAGCACGGCCGCCATGACGGCTCCTGTGTTGTGTGGTGTGGTGTGGGTTTCGGAGCAGATTTGGTCCATTTAGTGCCCGTCGCTGTGCAGAAAGGCGAGTTCTCCTTCCACCATTGCGAGAGGTACCAATGCACAGACCTAACACAAACCTACAGGCTGTCATGCCTTCGTTCGGTTGTTGATCCATGTGTCAGCGACTACATCATGCTGACGCGTTGGCTGCCGTCGTCGTCGAGTCCGCTGCCCAGCGGGGCGTCGCACCATGTGGGTGTGGGGGCGGCCATCATCAACGACCGGAACCAGGTGCTGCTGGTGCAGGAGGCTAACGGACCACTCAAGGGCAGGGGCATCTGGAAGATGCCGACAGGTGGGTGGGTATACCTCCATCCATCCATCCACACCAACACACGTGTTGTGCGCACATCCCTATGTGTCTGCAGGTCATGTGCACAACGGGGAGAGTCTGGTGGAGGCTGCCATCAGGGAGGTCAGCCAGGCGCCGACTGGCTGGGGGCTGCACTTATTCTCTCTCCCTGTGTGTGTGTGTGTGTGTGTGAGAAGGCAAAGGAGGAGACGGGCATCGACACCGAGTTCGACTCCATCCTCGCATTCAGGCAGGCAAAGCCAATATACGCACACTCACGCAGAGGGATTTGCGGCATCTATGCCCTGATGAGTGCATTTGTGTGTGTGTGTGTGTGTGTTGTGTAAATGTAGGGAGTCCCACGGCGGTCCGCCCGTCACGGGCGGCAAGAGCGACCTCTTCTTTGTCGTCAAACTGAGACCACTGCAAAGTGCAGAAGAGGTCAGCACGGCACCCCTGCACACAAAACACACACACGCCGCCCAGCCCACATGTCTTGCCATATGTGTGTGTGTGTGTGTAATGTGCAGCTGGAGATTTCGCCGCAGGACGGCGAAATCTCCGCGGCCCAGTGGGTGCCGGTGAGCCACCTTGAGAGCATCTCCAAGTTCAAGCCCGGCACCGTCTACCACACCTTCAACACACTTGCAGCCCGCTCCGCCTTACCACACACGGACGACCCCTCCCCCTCTCTCCCTCCCCCTCCGTCTAAGTCATCCCTGCCACACATGAGCGCCGCTAACGCCGTGCCAGCTGTCAACTACCCACTTGGTGTGGGTGGGGGCTTCGAGGCAATGCCGGCAGTAAGGCGGCTGGATGGGCCGAATGACCCGCTGTTCCTCACACACGGGGAGCCCTACAGGGGCATCCGGGGGTGGAAGAAGCTGCCGGCGGGCTTCCGCGGGAAGATCGACTCGTTCTACTTCGTGACGCCGGTCCCACCGGAGGCCGCTCACCTGCTGAGAGATGATAATTGACCAAGATGTGGAGCTAGTGGTGGCTCTCTGGCAATTGAGGGAGGGAGGGAGGGAGGGAGGGAGAGTGACGGAATTGGCCGTTGGCAGGGCCGAGTCTCTGTCTGCCTGTTTTGCGTGCGTGTTGGGTGTGCATAGGTAGGTAGGTAGCAGTTTTGTCTGGTGTGGCAGTCAGTGACTCAATGAGTGAGTCGCAATGCGAGATGTGAAGCGCAAGAAGAAACTGTATTAGCTCAACCAGGGCGGCAACATCCACCACGTAGTTGAGCTACTGCAGTTTCTTCTTGCGCTTCAGTCAGCCAGATGCATTATGTGCTCATGTGTGAACGTTCGACAGTGGCCTGGGAACACTGTTGTGTTCTCTTTGGGTGCTCGGCCGTGGTCGTCGGACGTATTGAATTTCACTGCCTGTGACGAGCGCCAGACAGGAGACAGGGAGAACGTCCACCGAACGGGTGCGTGCCACGAGAGAATACTACAAGACCTTCCTTCCCTGAGGCACTAGAACTGGCCTCGAAGTACGACTCTACCCCCGGCAGCCGGTGTAGTGTCAGGTGTGTACGTTTGTGTCTATATGTGCTGTTCATGGCGGCCACACACGCACTGCACTGACGTGATGCTGTCTGTACAAACATGCACATTGCATACACCCCTCCCCCCGCCGTCGCTCGATCATCTCTGTACAGGTGGTTTGAGATATCTGTCATGTGCTGACTGGGATGTACAGGATTAAGTGAGTCCCTCACCCACTCAATCTTGTACATGCCTGTCCCCACATGACAGATATCTCAAACCACTTTGTCAGCTGCGGGAGTAATCTGCTTCATGGGAGAGGGGATCGACCGCTGGTAGGGGTCCAGCACATGGATGCCGCGCTTCCAATCCAACGCACGACCCCTGCACTCATGCCCATGCATCCATCAAACACAAAGTGTGTGGTGTCTTGATGGCCGGCTAAGTGGCTGACCTGCTGGGCGAGGCGACGAAGGGCGACCTGGACACCTCGGGGAAGTGGTGGTGCTTCATCTGGTACATCAGCAAACTCCCTGGTGAACGGACACGATACCAAGCTCCCACGTGTTGGTTTGGCGCATGTGTGTATGTGATGTGATGTTTCTTCTTCCGACCTGACACAGCGACGTCGAGATTGCGCATGTCGAAGTCGGGCAGGTCGACGGGATGCTGTGGACACAACGACTGACTGTGACAGCTGAGCTGCCTGCCTGCCTGCATGGCTGACCTCTATCCTGAGCTTGCGCGCCTTCTGGGGTATCCCAAACGGCGCATAGTACTCCTCACGCACCATCAGACACACACCTAATCGACACACGCGCAGAAGCTGGTAAAGAAATGCAATTACTCTTCCTCTCCCGCACCCGTATCTGCGCATACCTCTTTCCTTTGTGAAGTCCTGCTGCGTGATGTCTGCGCCGCGGTAGTGCGCCGCCGTCAGGCACAGCTTGTAATGGTCCACGAACTTCATCAAGTCGTCCAGGGTCCCATACCTGCACGCCATAAAACAGCGAGCAAAGCGATCCATCAATTCGCTGTGTGGCTGTGTACCTGTGTGGCAGGTAGAACAGTGCGCCCTGCGATGCCCTGATGGCGTCATGGTGCAGCGGGTCCACACACGTGGGCAAGAAGAAGGCACCGTGCCAATGCATCGACACCTGCACACACACGCACACACACAGATACATATGTCCAAGGACGATGATGATGTACGCCAGGCAGCTTACCGCAGACCGCAGGAGTGTGCCGAGCAGTGCAGGGTCCTCAATGTAATCGAACACCAGCATCAACCTGCACACAACACAACACACGCATACAATACATTCTCCCTCCTCCCATGCGGCCCATATCTGGCTGGCTGGCTGGCTGGCTGGCTCGCTGACAGACTGACCGTGGGTCGCCGAAGGCGTCTGTTGGTGCGGGCATGTCGATCTCGCCGACGATGCCGCCGTCGAACGACTTGAGGTGCGCCACGCGCCGCAGCAGCTTCTGATCCACCTGGTACCACCCACCCTCCTCCATCCAAATGCCATGGTCACTCGGCAGCGCATCTCTGCACGCAAACAAACGAGAGAGGGAGGGAGGGAGGGAGGGAGGGACATTCATCGTGGGGGGAAGGTTCTCTCTGCGTTAATGAATGCGTACGTGGTGAGGACGCGCTTGAAGACGTATTTGTCGCTGAGTTCTCGCAGGAGCTTCCAGCCCGACACCACACAGGTCTCCTTGCGCAGCCGATAGCTCCTGTTGGTGCTCAGCTTCATCAAGTGCTCGATGACGGGATCATGCGCAGACACGATCTTCCTCTTGCGTGGTGGGCCGGTGGCCGTCACGGCCCTGCTGAGGGCCGACAGCTCATCGGTTGATGGCGGGGTAGCATTGCGGCGATGCCCTGGCGTCAGATCTTTGGGCAGATGGGCGAACTTCTTGTATACAATGCGCGATGCTGTGCGGGACGACATCTCGATTGATGAGTTATGCTGCACCACCAGAACAGATGACGTAAGGAATGACTTCCCTCGGCGAGAATTGGAGACGGGACGAGAAATTCGAAATTCGAGACAGAAATTTCGGCCCGCTTTCCATTTTTCGCCTCCGCAGCGCCTTTCACCCTTCTTTCGGCCACAGATGCCCCGCTTCTTCTTCTTTCCATCTGGTTTTTGGCTTGTGTGGTCCGCTCCATCACCCTCTACCCCCCACAACTCGTCCGGTTTTGTCTGCCACTTCCTTCCACTACCGCCGGGCCACGAGCAAGGCCTCCTCCGCCGGTGGCGCCCTGCCTTTTGCCGAACGGTGGCGACTGCCTGACGCCTGTCTGGCGTCAACTCAAGTGCGCGTACGGCTTCTTTTGCCTTCAAACTTTGAGCATCCTCTCAGGTGAGTAGACATGTCATGTCTTTGGGTTGGCTGTGGTGATGTTATGGTGTATGGATGATGTTCAAGGATGACTGCATAGTCTGTTTCATTGCTGTGGTGATCTCACTGTGCCCTGTTGGCATGCTTGTGTGCAGCAGATGAAACTATGGGTTTTCCTCTTGATGGCCTCGAGCAGCTTCCCTTCTTCTGTGTGTACCTTCCCTTGTGTGTGCAGAATTGGATTTGCAGGATAGACCCTTCTTCTGTGTGTCCCTTCTTCTGTGTGTCCCTTCTTCTGTGTGTCGCGAGGGCATTGAGCAATGCAATGACATGCGAGGGCATCGAGCAATGCAATGACATGCGAGGGCCTCGAGCAGCTTCCCTTCTTCTGTGTGTCCCTTCCCTTGTGTGTGCAGAATTGGATTTGCAGGATAGACGGCCGGCCCTGGGGAGCGGGACCTTCGGCTTGGTGAGACGAATGGAGAACAGATTCTTGTCATGGTGTTAATCGAGTGTGTGAAACAGGTTGAGGAAGAACGGCTACGTCAGACGAGGGTTGCCATCAAGTCAATGTTGCTGTCAATGCAGACAGGTAGGAAGCGGCGTATCTCAGCATGGCTTGATCACATTACGTTGTTGGCTGCCTGCAGGGACAAGGCCATCAAGATGGGAAATATTGAACTTCGAGAGAGAAGTCAGAGCCTACAGGCAAGTGTGTTCACAGGAGAAGGCCGCAAGTCCGGTGTGTTGGCGCTTGGTGGCTTTGCGTAGCTATATTCGACACCAATTCATTATGCAGTGTCATGGAGTGTGCCACCACAGGGGCAACGGAGAAGCCAGGGAGGCCAACGCGAGAATCCCCCCCCACTGCATCGTGATGGAGCATATTGAATGGGGTCAGCTAGAAAGACAGCAGCAACAACAGTTGGTGTAGTCTTGCGCACCGGAGATGCCTTTCCCACAGATGTCCTGTCGAACTGCCTGCGAGAACGGCCGACGGCTGAACAAAGACTGATTTGGGCAGAGAAACTGATATGACACAGATATCGATGCCATTCAATGACGTGTTGTTTGGTGTACGTAGGTGAGTGCAGTGGGCCATATGCATGCCTGTGGTTTCATACACAGAGACGTCAAGCCGCAGGTGAGTACAAACAAAAAGCTTCCTGTCAACTAGAAAGATGCCTGGCTGCCTGTCTGTCTGCCTGTTATTAGAACGTTCTGATACGTCGGGCTGATCTCGAGCTCAAGTTGGCTGACATAGGGACATGCGAAAGGCTTGAGGTACGTGATGATGGTGCCAGCTGCAGTACTGGACATTTCATGTATGTCTCTTATGTGTGTGTCTCGGGTGCCACATGATGTGGGGTGTCAGCGGGACGGCTTCGTGGAACCAGAGGACGCTGGCGGGGCACCCTGCAGTACCAGCCCCGAGAGGCCCTCGCCCATCAGCCACTCAGCGACGCGGTGGATATCTGGTCTCTCGGTAAGTGCGCAAGTGCATGGGCCATTCATAGACGAGCTCCCACATCAGCCATGTATTGTGATTGAATGTCATTCAGGGTGCTGTCTCATTGAAGTATTCGGCGGGACGGTGTGGCCGGAAGACTGCAGGAGTAATCGTTTCATAGCCGACGCCATCATGCAAGGCGCAACTCCTCTTTTGCCGAACTGGTGGCCACAGTCGGTCAAAGACATCATTCTGCCCGTGAGCTGAGCACACAAAGGCTGCGTAGATGTCTGCATTCACGTGTGTGGGTTGCGTCCAGTGTTTTGACTGCCCCCGACGACGACCATACGCCCGACAAAATACTCGACCAAGTGCGAGCCCTGGCTGTCCACAACATTCGTTGTACGCAAATGAGAAAGATACGCATCTATACGTCTCTATATCTCTTCACTATCCGAGTGATGTGGCCGGGGTCCTTGGCAGTGACGGTGGTTGTCGCTGCCCTGCTTTGACCTGCCAGCGTCCATGCCGCAACCGACACAGACGTGCTGCCCCTCCCACCGCCACCACCACACGGACGTGCTGCCCCATGTGTGTGCGGAAGGGATTTTGCCCAATTGTCCCTCGACGCGCCATGAACGTCAGCTTCCGTCGGCAGATATGTGTCGCATCGGCTGATCCGTGGTCTCTGTCCTTGTCTGTCTCTGTCTGCAGTTGGCCTCCCTCAGTCAGAGTCGACGTACGTCGATATCTATTACCACATCCACAGGTACAATTTCGGGAAGATTTCCTGTCGCCACCCGCCTCCCCTCACACCCACGGCCCTCCAATCAATCAAGAAGGAGATGATCATCGGTCTGCGCGGGATATACTTTTTTCGTCCTTGCTCACCTCACGGCGGCGCACTCGATGAACAGGCTGGGAGTGGACAACGTAAGCAGCACATCCCTATTTGGCACATTCCAAGACCCTCCCGCTGCTCCCTTTCTTAGGTCGTCAACGATGTGCTGCTCAAGAGGGAGTCGTTGATGCAGGGCTTTGAAGAGCCCAGCCCCAGCACATCCCCGCGGCCCCCTCTGCCCATTCCATCCCCTTTGCCGCCCATGCTGCCATGTGATGGTGCCCTTATGATCGACTGCGGCAACATGTTGGAGGGAGAGGCAGCCTCCACCACGGGTGATGCACCCCGCGCAGAGATACTTGTCCGGCTGCCAGTGGAGCAAAGGCAGCAAATGGACAGCGGCAAGGTCGCCGCATTGGCGTGGGGCTGCATCACCCCGGAAATGGCGGTACTATGCCTCGAAGGGTGCCTGGAGGACGACACAATATGGGAAGACTTCGGTCTAAATCCATCGGGGAGCGCAGAGGAGCGGCGGATGATTGAGGAGATGAAGGCGATGTACAGGCAGCATTTGGAGAGCCTGGTGGGAAAGGGTGTCGTAAATGGAGGGGAGCAAGCCATGTGTGCTGCTGCTGAGGGACACGTTTGTAAGCTTTGCCATCGGGCAGCTGCTGCGGTACTTTGTCCCCGGCAGCAGCTATGACGACATCTACATGAAGGATTTGAGGGAGGAGAGTGCGAGTGGCGCAGTGAGCCCACAGGAGGAGGACCCTGATAAGTTGACGAGCCGAGAGGAGGTCAGGTGGGCGCGGCGCTGGAATGGGAGAGGCGAGTCGAGACGCTTTTTTTCTGATGACGGCCTGCCAAGAAGCCTCAGTGAAGGAGGACCGTTTGCACCGCTCCACATGCGAGGAGACAATGTTCACGTCTGCCGAAGGCTTGCGCTGCAGCTCAGCCCTCTCGCGTCCCATGGGCTGCATTTTGACCCCCGTGCCCGTCCATCCCTTGAGACCCAGGTCAGAAGGCTGCACGGCGCCCTCACAGAAGCAATAAATGCTTTCCAACCCGCCACCAACCTGAGCCAGCATGAAGAGGATGCGGGCGAGTTTGTGGTTGTCAGCCACGCCGCCCATCAAGAGGCCACACAACACGCAGCCAAGTCGGAGAGCCGACCAAGCGTGCTTGACTTCGTGAAACGACTGTGGGCGAGGAGAGGCTTGTGCGGGAGAGACCAGACAGCTCAGTCGCCCAGGTCTCCCGCTATCTGTTGGTCTTGTCAGCTCAACAAGAGGCTCTCCCGCCGCACGCAGGAGCTGACTATGCAGTACCAACACATGATCAACACGGAGGTGGGTGGGTGGGTGGGTGGTTGA